AATTACCTTTTTTTCCAGGCTTCATCTCACCAGCTTGGTCCATCCAGTACTCTCGAATGTCAATCAAAACCTTGCCTTTAAAATCTCTGACGCTGACGTATCTCAGCTTTCCAATCTATCACATATCAGAACATGAATGAGCTACCAGGGACAGTAAATAATAGCTCTACAATCAGTCATACTAAACTTTAATAGTCAAAAAACACTCAAAAAAGACACTAAAACATAGCAGAAATTGCTAGTTATAATGCTAAATAACTTCAGAACCTTGCATATTCTTTATGCAATCTTTATGTGTATTCTGTAGTTCTATAGAAAAAAACAAAGATTTTATAGGGTTTTTCCCTTAAATAAACCAGAGTAACGAACTCGATAAGAGACATGTTACAGATAAATGCAAGCAAACTAGTCCATGGGAAAAGTTGCATTACAGATCGATAATAATAATATATAAATTGATGTTCATCCTGTTGTCAGCATGATTATTTTAATGCAATATTGCTCCTAGTAGAAGCTAATCTACAAGTAAGATTATTTAATGTTAAATCAATATTACATGTCCATGCATTTATTTATTTCATAAGAAGTTATATATGGGATAATTTACAGTCATTTGGTCATTAATAAACCCTGATAGGGCGGTACGTGTTGAAAAACTCAACCTGAAACAAGTTATCATCATTGTTTCGGTCACTCTTAGCAGAGCCACTCGGTTTGGAGGTCTCTCCACTTTTCTGTTTTTTAGCAGGCTTCTCAGGAGCACTTGCCTTCTTTCTTTTGGCCTTTGGTAGAAATAAGGAGAGAAAAACAAACACATGACCTTTCAGGCCTGCAGCATATTTTAGGATTAAATAAGTACTTTTAAAAAAAATCACTAATTATAGTAGCCACTGCTAATTTCAAGTTAAATGAAAGCCAAGAAGCATAAACAGTTTTCCAATTGCAAGGGCAATTAATTATGTTGCATTCATGTATAAATCAATATTCATACCTTTTTTTCTGTATCACTGTCTGAATCACTGCCAGAAGTGGAAGACAGCACTTCTTTAGACTTAGGCATCCTGTTGAACACAAACAAGTACAATTTAATGGGAAATATGATTCAACACTGCCCCCTCAAGACCACTTATGGAACTTATTTTCATACATTTTTCCAGGTATGCCCAGTTTAACAGGGGGTCCCTGCTCAATCTCTATTTACCAAGGGCCTTTAATGTGAAAACCTATGCTATATACTAACTGCTAAACTGATACAGAATTTAATGAAACTGTCTTCTAGTTTTTTGAAACAATGTATATGTTAAATATATAAATACTACAAAAATGTAGATTCTTTAATAATAATAATAGAAGAATCATCTAAATAACAAATGCAATATTCTCTACATTAGCTACATGTGTCATCAATGCATAGGAGTCACACAATGTTGTTTCTAGGCAAAAACACACTTAAACGATTCCTCAGAACAAACGGATAATTTCAATGACTAAATTATTTAAAAGGTTATCAATAGTAATAGTTTACTTACTAACAAATATTAACCATATTCTTATGGGTGGGGAAAAACATATGAGGACAGACGCAGTGGGGGGTTATTTTAAGATTTTATTGATTTCTGAGACTTTCTCTAGCCTAGAACCCAATTGTGAGATTCCCAGAATTTGTATTATAACCACAGAAATACTCGTTTATTTAGAAGACCTATTGGCTACTAAATGAAATCTTGTAAAAACCTGCTACACATATTTCCTAGCCCTAACATGCTACATACACTTTTCGATGTTTTTTATTTGTTTTCTCTAACGTTAGCATTGGCGCCCATTGTTTAGTCACGAGGCGTTAAACGTCGGCGATATTCGTCCCAGTGTGAACAAGCCTTAACGCTATATGAATTTTGCATTGATTTTTAAAAGCTGTCATTTTGGTCGAAAAGATCCATCAAGCAAGAGACAGAATTGAGGCTTTCCAGATCAATAAAGACTTGGCTTCACCAATGGACGACATTAAACTGCTTAACTGGTTTGTTAAACCAAAACTAACTCGTGTAGATCAACACCGGCGTGTATAGCGGGGCTGATCAGAGGCCTCTGCATCCCAAAACTAAGGTGGAAAAATAGGCCCTGAATAACAGCAGTTCATATTATAAGCAGTTTTGTATGACTTGTCTTTATATGATTCGTCATGGTTGTGCACTTATTTAACAAGTGCGTGTCTAAAATAGACAGTTTACTCTTAGCTTTAGTATGAACTGAATATGACTTACGTTAAAGGTTGTGCAGTGGGCTATAGTCAGTCACGCTCAGCGGCGGGAAGTCGAGGAGTCTATAACCAACCATGTGACTAATAACGTGTCAGAGGGCATTGTGGGAAATGTAGTTGTCTCTTCTTCAATGACAGCACTGCGTAGATTGTTAACCACCACAGTAACAACACGCCTGTTGTTTAACGTAATGACGTGAATGAAACTCATATAAATATAGATTATTTTTGATATAATTATAAAAGACTTGTTGGATGATGGTGGAAAATTCCTCCGGATTTTTGCCCTCTGTAGTTTTCGTGGAGTGTTTTTATCAACTCTATTCTTAAAGAATCAGTTGAGAAAAATATTAAATTCAGCCACTTTTAGCAATAAAATGGAAAATCAATGTAGCCTGAAAACGAATAAGAAACAAATAAGTGAACACATATATTTAGTGAACATATTCAAAAGAATCTAGTCACTGGGATCAAAAATCAAAATAACAACTACACACACACACACACACACATACACACACAACACAATATATATTATTCAACAATATATATACAGGGCTTGACATTAACTTTTTTGCTCACCAGCCACTGTGGCCAGTGGTTTCCACTAGCTACTCAACATTTTCACTGGCTACAATTTTGTTTTTATTTTGTTTTAATGAAAAGATGCAGTCTCTTAAGACATAAAAAGAGTAGCTTAATTTTGTCTTTCACCTTTTCACCGCAGCACAGTGAAGTCTGTACAGTCAGCACAGTTCATGATTCTCTTTGCTGGATCACATGCCAGCCATTCTCGGCTTGACTTCCACTTTTCATAGAATTGTCTTTTTTCTTTGTTTTAATATATTCACAGGGGTATCTGCAGGATTTTTAAATCAAATATAAGGCTTAAGACCTTTTTTAAGAGATATATATATATATATATACAGTGTTGGGAAGGTTACTTTGGAAATGTAATAGGTTACAGATTACAAGTTACCCTATTTAAAATGTAATAGTAGTGTAACTTTTTCAATTACTTTATTAAAGTAATGTAACTGATTACTTTTGATTACTTTTTGATTACTTTTCTACATTTCTAATGAATGTTTATTTGCAACTGTTAATCATTTTCAAACATTTACACCATGCAGGGTTAACCTTACAGTAGTGCTCAACACTGTCAGACTTTCACAATCCTTTATCATTTGAATTAAGATGATCAAATTTTAACACATTCACCACAAAATCAGACTTTAGTACCACCTTTTACTTTGAGATCGATCTGAAGTTCAATGCAGATTTAAAATCATAAGAAATAGTTCGCATCTTTGCATAACTACAGGAAACATTGCATCTAACAATGGTTTGGAAAAAATAGTTAATTAAAAAATAATAATAAATATAAGCATATACATCAACTCAAATATGGTTATCTAATAAGCATGTGTCCTATTCTGTGTACTAAACTCCTGAAACATTGGTGCCTTTTTGAAACATTGGTGTCTCTTTGTATATGATATGACGATAATTTTCTCAAAATAAGTAAAATGCTCATGAAGTGACTCAGAGCA